TTTTAAAGAATCTAATAATAAGAAAAAAAGATTTCAATTTTCAAGAACATTAATTTAAATCCTCATAGAAAAAAATGTGTTCAAATTCAATTAATAATTGCTTTACATATATTTTAAGAATTCTCGCATTCTTGTCGGAACAATCACAGGAAATCGAAAGTAACCTTTAACCCTTTAGCACATCGTGCACGTAAGCAACTAATGTTATGTAGTAGTCACAATTTTTTTATTAGTTCAGAGACGATATGTATGTATCTGATTATTAGATATTTCTATTAATAATCTCTAATAAAATTTTTATCAGTCTTTCCATTATTTTAATATTTTTTATATATGTATGGATATATATATATAATATATATAATATACATATATATACATGCACACATTTGCGCGCGCGCGCATACACATACACACACATACACACACACACACACATATATAGGTGCATATAAATAAATAAAATTTTATAGATAATATAGATATACGTGTATATAGCACAATTATTATTTTCTGAAGATTAATCTTGGTATGGGAATAAATTTAAGATATTTGAATATTATAGATATGAGCAAATTTAACAAAAAGTTTTTAAAATTCAATCAAGAAAATATACAAGTAGACAGAGGACTTTATAATATTGCACTCAAGCGAATAATGAAATTCTGTATAAATATAATACTATACTTTTTTTTTAAGTAAAAAACTATCGAAAGTCTTTTATTATTACAAATTAAAGTAAACCAACTCGCGTACATTCTTCACTTCGTTTCACTAAATGTGCTGAATCGCAGCATTATTCTCGCGCGTGTTTTACAGTTCTACGTGAAAAGAATAAAAAAAACTTCACTGACGAAGCATGCAGTGACTGAGCGCCGTGCTGGCCGTGCACGCTTGATTAGCTTGATATAGTGGTGCACGCACGCACGCACACAGCACAATTTGCAACAACACGCACAGCACAGCGACGCGACGACGACTGAACGCTAAGTGCCGTTGATTGGCTTGATATAGTAGGGCGCGCGAGCGCGCGGCGCAATTGGCTCCGCTGTGCGCGCGGGAAATGATTGGTCAATTTAATCCTAGAATGCGCGCCGCATTAAGCATTCAAACGGCGTTCAGTGCCTATTAACCAACTGCTTGGTGACGAGAAAAGAGACATACATAGCTAACGTTATTTTCTAACAGTGTTTTCTGCTACCATTTTCTATTATCTTTTTGATTAATTAATCCTTAGGACTTTTCCTCTCTGATAACAGAAATAATCAATGTTCGATTTTTTAGCAAAATGATAAGAAAAACTTATTTCTTTCTATCTTACTCATCCTTCTTTTTTTCTCTCTCCTTATTCTTCTTCATAATGCATATCTATAAAAAGTGAGTGAACAATAAGTAAACAAGGAATGAAATAAAAGTAATAGGAATATACAATAAACAAAAATAGGAATGATATAAAAGTAAGTCGTATATTTTAATTTTGATAATCATTAATTTCATAAATATTACATTTTTAATTTATATAAATTATTTATTATTATTTTATAATTTAATTTAATTTTATATAAAATAGATGTATATTAAAACTGTATATATTTTCTCTTTTAAATTCCTAAACATTTTTTTTTAATGCTAGTTACGCCACTGTCTTTTCCCCTACTTCCGTGGCTTCATCGTCGGTCACTCCGTGCTGCCATTTTTTTCTCTCCCACTCATTCTGAGTCAATTTACCAATTGAAATCAGTGTCGGTCGCGGCACTGAATAGTCCGCCAACCGACGGCGAATGATCTTGTCCCTCCTTTCCCCTTCATCTATCTAGAGGGGAACTGTTATCAAACTATTCACCGGTCCAGTAAGGCCCTCATTCAAATTCCGCAACGAGATTACTCGCGTTCTCGTCGCGAATTAAATCCCATAATCCCATATATATAGATTGTTAAACTAAAATAAAAAGAAGACATGAAAAAATCAAGAAGTTTAACTCAAGAATTCAAAGAAAAAGAATAAATTAAAAATTATGGGAGTTTTACCTACAAAATATTTAGTTCTTACTTTATATATATGTAATACTTTACTTTCATTCCAGCTTCATGTCGTATGCGCCTACCAGCATATAAAGTAATTGCGTCGAAGTGAATTTTTGAAATCATCACCTACGGCACTACTACTTAGCATGCAAATAAGCTACTGAATTAAGAATGGTCTTTTCTAATTAATTTATATTTCTTTTAAACTTCATTATTAATTATCTTCAAATATTTATCAGAAAAAATTAAATCTACATTAGGAATTGGTATTATTACATATATAATTTATAGAAATTGGTATTATTACATATATAATTTATACATTGATAGATGCATACATTTGTAGAGAATATCGAAATTTAAATTGATATTCTAATTTTTTGTTATTAAAGAACATACTAATTAGTAATTATATATTTAAAAAGATATACTAATGAATACACACGATCAACAGACGTGAAAAGGATAGTTAGATTTGTGAACGCACCAACGAGCGTTCTAATGGTGCTTCGCCCATTGTTACGGTCACAAATCGAAATATCCTTATTGCTATTTCTGAAAAATGTATATTATTTCTTAAGAGTCTGAAACAAAATTAGCATATAATATTAGTATATGCCGTACGTTTTTAAAGAAAAAATTTATATACATACATATACAAAACGTTATATAGGTGTGTGTTTGTGTATGTTTGTGTATGTAAATATAGTTTCGTGCATGCTTACACTAATTACGCTAATCTGACATAAAAAATTTATCACATAATAACATTCTCAACCCTGCAATTCACGTCGTAGAAAAACATGTAAAATTAAAATTTTCAATATCATGAAACCTAGAAATTAACCGATAATTACATCCAAATTTTATCTTTAAAAAAATTGTGTTAAAAAAACTTACTTTAACATATATTACGCTTATATTACTATGTACTTTGAAACGCTATAGCGATTTTATGACGACCGTGACTTTCCCATGCGGGTCTATTTTAAGTACCAAAGTGAAGCAATGTTACTACTACACAATGCCGATTACTTGCTTTATTTCCCTTTCATTTGTCATCTTTTGATTAGACATGTGAATGTATTAATCATGTATAAAAAAGAAATCAATTTCGAAAAATTGTTAAAGAAAAGATGAAAATAAAACATATCGACTATTCTCCAAGTAGGACGCTGTCTAGTATATTTAAAATAAATTTTTAATAAAATCTATTTCCAACAGAATAGTGTATTCTAATATATATGTGTATATTTATTATAGTATATTATATTATATTAAATACTTTACGCAGATGATTTATGAATTGTAAGTTTATTCCAGCCTTTGAAACGAACGCTTCACATAACTATTAATTCACTTTGACACGTCGTAGCTGGAAGTACGATTGGTATCTATATGTAGCAGCAGTTTCAGATGGAATGCCACGAGAAATTGCCAACAAGTTACACATGCACAGGTGTTTCTTGAGATATCACGTGTCTGCTGCCATATGTTTGTTGTCTCTCTATCTTTGAGATCATTTTATAATCGAGATCTCTCTTCAACGCATCTTAAGTAAATTTAATTTCGTATTCTTTTTATTTGAGAAACGTAAAAAATATGTTATTAAATTTTTTCTGTTACGTATATTTTATAATCTCAAAAATTTTCTGAAAATTGATTAATTAACATTTAATTTTGCTATGATTTAATAATAATTTGATATATACAAAGATCGATAATATAAAGCGAAAAGCGAATATTCTATAATCAAGAGAATATGAAATTAAATTTATTTGAGATGTATTAAGAAAAGATTTCGAAAATAAAATGATAATTTTGAGAATAAAGTAATAATCAAAGATAGAGATAAATCTTTAATCTTATTTTAATTTAAGTTATTCTAATTTTTTAAACGTGAAAGAAATTAAAAATATATAGAATATTTTGTAGACACTATTGTGTTTATTGCATTAAAGTGTCCTCTTCTTTAAGATTAGAATAATAATTAATATAAACTCAGCTCTTTGTAAAAGAATTCAGAATCAAATTTTACAGAGTCACAGTTTGCCGAAAGCGTTTCAGGGGAGCGTTATTAAATTGAATAGAATGCCATGCGTGGGTTCAGGCCGGATACTCGCCGAATGAATCTCATCCCAAGAGAGAGGAAGTCCGAATTAAGTCGAGAGATAGCTACTGCCAAGGGGTTACAACCAACAAGTTCTCTTTGGTATCCTATACAAACGATAAACTTATTGCGATCCCATTCGTCTCTTAATTGATCGATAATATTCTGATGAATTAGGGTACTGTAAAGGTATTATTGTAACATGATATTAAGTTGTGCTATAAAATAAAAGATGAAAAAAAAGAAAACAAAAAATAAATAAAATGATAAAAATGATTATAACATAGATAAAATAAAAATCCAAAAAACAAGCAAAATAAAAATATAAGAAAAAATATTTAAAAATGTATTGTGTTATATGAGATATAATTTTTATTTTTATTTATAATATATATAATGTAAGATGATAAAAAATATAAATTTCTTAAAAAAAGAATTTAAAAGTGTGAAGAGAATTCGGTGAAAAAATTTGAAAGTACAAAATATGATAAAGAAGAATTCAGATTTATTTAAATCATTTGACTCTGTTTTGTTTCTTACATCATATACTGCTTCCAATAGCTTTATACTTTTAACAGAATATATATATATATATATATATATAGGGATGAGAACAATCAGAATCAGTTTCACAACATGATAGAAAAAGATGAAAGGAAAAGTTTGGGGATTTTTTAATAAGAGATTATATATTATAAAATAAATGAAACAGTGTGCTTATTGTGCATAATTTAATCCTAATTTTTAACTGTTAATTTTATTATTTGATATATATTACATAATATATATATTTAAATATTACAGCAATAATAATTATATTATTTCAAGATATTTTTACAAATTACATTGCATATATTACCATGATATATTATTTTGGTATATTTCTATGTATGACTGTACAAGATAATTTATTAACGTTCATAATTCAACCTCTTTCGCAAATAATGTCCACTACGCTGGGCTCCATCAAAACAGGGTCCAGACATCTATGGACTGCACTACCTAAAATCTCGTCTAGCAAAAAATGAACCACACTAAAAATAATAATAAGTGTAAGTAAATATATATTCATACATTATACACATACATATAAATTATTTATTTCAACTTATAAAATTAAATCGAAATCTCACTTACTTTTCATCTGACACGAATCGCCATAAATAAAGTTGCAAATAATGAGTATCCACTTGAATTTGTTGTAAACCATATTTGCTGAACGTTCGCAATCTCACGCATTCAAGGAAAGTCTGTATATACAAATTAAACAGAAAATATTAAAGAAACTTAATAATTAGATGATCCTATGACTTCGTATAACTTTTTTATACAACAAAATAATTCTTTTTTGTATAATACATTTTAAAATCTTATTATAAAAAATTACTATTATTATTAAAAAATAATTATTAATTTAATTTTTTATTCAACTAAACGTAAGCATGGCAAAAGCATGAAACATATTGCGTAGTGAACGATGGCAGAGTTGGAAGGATGAATCAACTTCATAAAGTGGATAATAGTCGTGCTATTTTGTCATTGCGACTACTCTGCACCTGAGTGATTATTACGCCAGTACAATGTCTGCTAGAAGTATTATTTCGCACAAATTTTTATTCCTCTATATATTATAAAATAATTTTAAAAAATAATAAATATTATTAAAAAATAACAATTTAATACTGTGATCTAATTAATAATAAATGATATAAAATATTTAAAAAATATTTTTAATGATATATAAATTTTTTTAAATGGTATAAATTAAAAAAATATTTAAAACGACTTGTACGAGCAAAATTATAAGGATGTAAAAACGCTTAACGCTATATATTTTCTCACAATTACAATATTGATTAACGTTTCGACTTTACAGAGACTTTTTCAAAATCTATATAGAATTTAAATCATGTTCAATAGAATTGAATAATACATACAATGAGAATTGATTATACGTCTAAATATTGTAATTAGTTTTCAAGTACCATCGTTATGATAAAATAATCAAGGATTTATCTGATTTAAATTTTGATCTCTTGTCGTTGACATCTTCCACGAATGAATAATTCATACGGATCAATAATTATTCATCCGTGGAAGATGTCAACGACAAGAGACCAAAATTTAAATCAGATAAATCTTTGATTATTTTATCGTAACGATGGCACTTGAAAACTGACTACAATATTTAGACATATAATCAATTCTCACTAATTAATGAATTCTCTATAAATAATGTTTTATTGTTTGACGACTAAAGTTTTGAGATTTCTCTGTTTGAAAATATTCATCAAGACCATTCGCACAGACAAAGTAAATGAAATATGAAGAAAGATCTAACATTTTGATTTCTTAACGGTAGTTTATCATTTGACAATTGTATGTATCATTCAATTCTGTTGAACATGATTTAAATTATATGTCGATTTTTACATCCTTATAATTTTGCTCGTACAACGATAATATATACAATAATATATAACGATTAATATACATAATGATTAATATACATAAGAATATTTAAAACGACTACTTCGTAGTTAAATATTCTTATGTATATTAAATACATTATATTAAAATATTATTTATAATTGTTATTATTATTGTTATTATTATGAAAATATTAATATCACCTTCAAGCTTATTTTGATGATTCCTGTTAGAATAGATGCCTTGTTAAATTGTACAGAAGAGAATATTTCGATTCGTTCAGAGAACAATTTATGGATATTCGTCACTAGAGAAGAATCGATGTGACTAGGTGTATAAGATGACCAATTTGATCTATAATGTTGCCTAGATATGCTAACACTAGAACAAATTTTTATTATGTATTCCAAACCCGATTTCAATGATAACAAAATAATAAATTTCAAAATAGAAAATTTAAAAATATCACATTTAGACTCTAAAAATTTATATAATCATATTTTCTATTAATATTTTCCAGATAACATTTACATGAAAACTAAATATTAAATTAAAAAATTGTTCAAGTGAAAATCTTTTACCTGTGAGTCTTTCTACTACTGTCGCTACTTCTATCGACCTGACCATCATTGTCATCGTATAAAGCAGCAACTTGTGCATCAATGGCAGTTACATCTTCGACAACTCTCTTCATAACAGCTCTCACGGTTCTAGGTTCAATCGTGTGCAACCAATCTCTGGTCTCTACGGATTTTCTCAGCATTTGGGATACTGTCAATCCCTGAATTCGTACATAGTGATTTAACAAATTCTGAGCAGCCTCTTGAAAACTATCACACATTTCTGATCCGGGAGTTATGATATTTTCTGAAGATGCATATTGATCAATACTGAAAAGATCGTCGATGGTCGTAAGCTGCAAAATATAAATGAAATATATTAGTTAATACATGTATAAACTTGTACATCTTAATTTATTTATACTAGTTTATTTATTATTATGATGTATCATAATGGTCATAATTAATTAAAACATTTTTTTAATCTTTTCATTTCTGAATACCAGATAACGGACGTTGCTTTCCTTGTACTCGATGCACATTTTACTGAGCAGAAGTAATAGGGTGGGTGGAAATTTGGGTACATCAGATCCATTGCAAAATCCAGCTACTGTAGCTGTGAGATGATGTAAAAAACCGATTACTAATCCTTCTCTGACTTCATCTACACAGAAACTTTGCAAAAATTGCGTTTTTAAACTGAATGACAAGTCTGGCTGTAAAAATACCTGGAACAATTATAACCAACTTAAGTTTCCATGGTTCTTATTTACTATTAGGAAAATAGAAGATGCAACATAAATATATCAAAGAAAGGAGAAGAAAGATTTTAAATGACAAATCACAGAAAAAATTATATACAGAATAGAAAATAAAATATAATTAAGTTACAAATAAAATTAAGTCATATTAAATCAGAAAATATTAATGACATAATTAAGAATTAATCTTAAGAACTATATTAAATAATACGGAGTTCTTGCACCATGCCTACATGAACATTATTAATAAATTTAAATTTCACATGTTTAATTTTTATTTTGATTCTACTTTCTCAAAGCAGTAAAATTTAGACTGTTATTTGTCAGGTTACATTTATTGTTAATGCTTTATGTATTATGTGCTTATATGCCTTTATTCCGGGCTTTTATTATTTGTTGCACCTTTTTACTCATTCATTGTTTTGTACTTCACTGATGATGGCTCGAAGTGAACCAAAACATTTGAACTGAATGTAAGCAATCTAATGAAGACATAAATATATTTTGTAAAATTATGAATTGAAAATCTTGCAGAGTTACTCTCACTTGTCCGTTATATTTTTAAATGTTTATATATTGTTTTAAATTTTGAGAGTCTAAGTTTTTTGTTTTAAATTAAATAATATAATTAGAAATTTAAAAATTTAAGAAAATAAAAAACCTAAAACATTGAATAAAGAATTGAGTTAGAGGTACAAACCAATAAATCCTGTAAAACTCCTTTAATTTTTTCAATAGTGGGCATAATAAGCAAAGCTTGAAGTTCCGCTAATCCTCCATCACCATCCTGTGTGACCTTAGTAGCTAAAGTCTGCCTTATTTTCACTAAAATCTCACTCAAGTGTTGTTTCAGACTATGCAAATGATTGCGACATTGTTTTCGGCCAGCATTTACAACAAGATCAGTACCAATTCTGCAAAATTATATTAATTTATTATATTTATAGTTAATATCGTGTGTGTGCCTGTGTGTGTGCGTGTGTGTGTGTGTGTATTCTAAATTATTTTTATATTTAAATTTAATATGTCTATTTTTCTTCACCTAGTAAAGTCTGTCTCCTTGAACAACGTATTCATAGCTTGTAACCTGCGATGAAATCTATCAAGAGCTCTTACTAAAATCGCTGTATCTGCTACATCTTCCACTCTTTTGCTCATTAAATCAAAATATTTTTTCATATTGCTCAAAATAAACTTATTTATATATATAAATGGATCCATAGCTTTTATTTCAAAATCATCAATTAAATCGTCTTCCAATGATCGATTTATGAACATATCATTGTAGGAAGTCACAATTAGACATAAATCACTAAGAAATCCTGAAGAAGCCATGTCTACAAACTCTATAATATCGTTTTCACACATATCCTTCAAAATATCTAATTGTTCCGTTAATCTTTCTTCAGCATGTATCAAGAATTCAGTGCATAATGAATCAGCTGGTTCCTTTAATTGTAGCAAAAGATCTATATTTTCGGCTAATGTTTTAGCAGAAGCGTCTCTCTTATGAAATTGTAACCTGAGTTTAGATTTTAATTCTTCTAAAATATCCTCGCAGTCTTTTTGGATGCCTTGGAAGGATGGCATGTTGCTGTATTGATTTAAAACTCTTTGCGCATGGACATAATCTTGAACTGCCTGAAGAGCAACAATAATTTATCATTTATAATTTAAAAACTAAGAGAGAATTGACATAAAAGATTTTATACTACTGTTATGTTATATATTATATATTCATATATAAAGATATAATGCGTACTTCTGCATATTTTTCTTCGTTTATTTTATCCTTAAGATTGCCAGGTAGCTTGAAAAGAAATTGTAATTTTTTCAACAAAGTGTGTACAGAGGAGAGTTTAGCAATTTGTTGTCTTGTTCCATGTAAAGTTGAAGAGATCTGCTCTGAAAAAGAAGTGATGCTTTCCATATTCTGTGCTAAAAGATCCATGTTGTCCTCCATCTCCTTGAAATCAGTTTTCATCTAAAATGTAATTAAAAAATTAAAGACAAATCTAATAATTTCTTAAAAGATGATTTACCTTGCGTATAGTATCGGTAGCAGATATGAACTTATTATAATTTTCATATACCAAGGTTTGCATATCTGAATGTAATGCTTGAGTATTTTTTAGGATCTCTGCTTCGTGATCCATAATTTGTTTTAATGTGCACTCCTGATAAATAATCCAAAGAAAAGTGTAAACAGTATTTTGTTTTATTATATAAAATACAAGATATATTCTTTTCAAAAATATATATAATAACAATTTTATTTTAGAAAAAATAAGAAAATAATGAATAAAAAGGAATAAAATAAAATAATATAACAAAGAAGGGCTACGAGCCTAAAACAAATCATTTAATATAAATTTTGATTTACATAAGAAAATAAACAATAATATAAAACATACGTTTCGATCAATATCAGGTCATTCTCAATGTTGACAAAAAATAAGTATTGTAATATAAAAATTAGAAATTATAATATTCGTTAACATAATTAATAAATCCTATTTTAAGCTGTTCAACAAAAACGCAATCTAGGCCATGTCCAATTAGATAAATAAGATTCATAAAAGCGCCGAATATATGTCAACTTGTAGATAGATAAGAGGAGGTATAGAATATTAGACTATGGGGGGAGAATGGTAGATCAAGGAAAAACTAAGAAGGAGAAAGAGACATTTATTTTTTCTCATTAACTAAGGTATTTATATATTTTATAATTTATTAGTCTAATTCAGAACAATTAATTTTTTTTATTACTATCTTTTTATATATATTTTAGTATTTTCTATATGTATTTATCTAATTGGACATAGTCTAGATCGCGTTTTTGTTGAACAGCTTAGGATAGGATTTATTAATTAACGAATATTATAATTTCTAATTTTTATATTACAATACTTTTTTTTTGTCAACATTGTGAATGACCTGATATTGGTCGAAAAGGTATGTTTTATATTATTGTTTATTTTCTTATGTAAGTCAAAATTTATATTAAATTATTTGTTTTAAGCTTGTAGCCTTTCTTTGTTATATTATTTAATTTATCGAGCCTTTTTACTTAATTTTAATAAAATAAAAACTAGCTCATAAAACTTTCTCAAGTTAACTTACCTTCAATAACTTTTGAAAATACATGTCAGAATTGAAATGTTGTCCATTAATGTCATAAGGATTATTAGTATTCTCTGTCATCTTGTCAATCTTCCTCTTTAATAGATAAATCTTATTTAATTCTTGAAATTCTTAAACCTCTGATCAGATTTTTAGATATAAAAAAACAATATCGATAAAATAAATTAATCTTATGGAATCGAATCAGAGTTTTTTGTATGCTCAAACTATCTTAAATTTATATTTGAAAAGATGAAAATTACATATTACAAAAACCGATATGTTGTGTAAAAATGTATACAAATTCTTCAGTTTTCTAAAACTATTATCTAGAAATATGTATGTAGTTTTATATATATAATATATAATGATCTGTCTTTCTCTCTCTTTAATTCATATGAGGCATTATTTTTAAAGTCTCTGATATGTTATCTATTATAATACGTTAAAGCATTTAAATATATTTTAGATAAAACTTAACAAAGAGCTTGATCCTCTGAATTGGAAATTGAATACATACATAAAGGATTTATTTAATCTCTTTGCATAGAAATTTATAATTGTAACGGAATCAAAAAGGACGTTTGAAAAATTCACTTAAGATATTTTTCTTTAAAAGGCTAATACCTTTCAGGAAAGATATATAAAATCATATACAATCAATTACTATATATATATGTAATCAACTACTGATTGTATAGTACCCTACTATGGCCATGGCACAATTTTTTAAATGAATAATATTTTTGTTACTATACTGTGTATTTATTTCCTAAGCAACAATATTAATTTTATTATTTATATGTGTGTGCATGTATACATACATATATTCGTCACTCTCTTATATTATTTTATCTCGCAGTAACGCATTAATAAGTGTTGGCAGCTATCAAATTGTGATGTTTGTAGGTTAACTCTAGATTACTCCACTAGTCTACTATTCCAGTCTCCAGATGCTGCGCAAAGAAGCATAACCCTACATCGTCGTACGAAAGCGCAACAAGTGCGGGAAACTCCTTAAATAAATTTACAATATCTTTTCACAACAATATACAGATATTTTGAACTTCAGTGAAATACAGATTTCGAAGTTCTCTTCCAGTTTTATCGTTATAGGAAAAAAGTTTAATTAAGAGGTAAGATCAAATGATCGTACGTCTTTCAGTAAAACAAATTTTAAAACTATAGCAAAATATGGAAATAAATATCACAAGTTTTATGAAATTGTAAAAGAAATAGTATAATCAATTTTAAATCGAGTTCTATTTCGTTGCTATCATTTTTATTAATCGAGTTAAAAAAATTTTCTGTACCTTAACCTCTTTTGAATCTAATGAACAAGAGCAAATAACAATTAACCTTTAAAGAGCGGAGGGGGATCTATTTTTTAAACTTTACAGGTTTTTCTTGAGTCAGTTTATCATTTATTGTAATTTATTCTATTCCTTGACTTAAAATATACTGTTTCAACGCCATTCTAGTCATTTTCCGTTTTGTAAAGGTTAATTTTTAATAAATATACAGTAATTAATAAAATAAAGATGTAAAGCACAAAAAAGGTGTCCTTAATTTGTTTCTATTTTCTTTTATTTATTTATTTATTATAAACATCTTTAACATAAGTTGAATTATTTTCAGGTGTAACGGTAGCATATTTCGAAGACCTGTTCCAAATAAGAGTTCTATCTCAAAATTCACAGTTAAGTTTTATATAATATTGTGTTGTAAAGAGTGAAGAGAAAGAATTTCTCCTTTGAAAAAATCTTCAGAAATTATAATTTTAATTGTATATTATGAAAAAGACTTTTAATTTGAAAATCTCTTGATTTTTGAGAACTGTAATTGTGTTACGAAGAAGAAAAATTTGACATCAATTTTAAAAAGAAAAGGATTTAAAAACTTATTATTTGGCAGCTCTAAATAAAAAAAAGAAATTTTTAAGACATTTTGAAAATCACAATTGTAACTGTAAACTATGGATAGAAAAAATTTGAGAATTCCTTTATGGGCTACTATTTCAACCATGAAGAAAAAGGATTCAAAAACCATATTTTCGAGCTAAAATTCTGAAAATGAAAGATTAAAAAACTGTTTGATCTTTCAGACTTATAACTACAACTTTGAACTATACAGATTTATTTGCTTTTGAGACTTGCAATATCCTAATCATGCCACATCCTTGCGTCGTCTGTGGTCGTTCACGCATGAACCCCAACAATCGTGAGGAGGAGTACATGTTTTTCGGCTTTCCAGTGAATGATGAAACTCGTTGCTGTCGTTGGCTAGAATTTTGTGGTCGTGAGGATCTATACAAACTCTCAAAAAAGCAGCTTCTTCAGCGTATGATTTGCTCCAAGCATTTCCAGCCGCAAGATTTTCTTAATGAATATATGGACCGTTTAAATTTGACGGCAGTTCCATCGATTTATGATCCTAAACAGAGTTTGTACAATATAACATGTATTCTTTGCGGAAGAACACGAAAAGATCCACCTGCAGAAGATTATGACGGAACAACTTTTCACCATTTTCCTGGAGAAGAATTCCGCTGTCTCCAATGGTTGGACTTCGTTGGTGTAGACTCTTATTACAGATTAACAAGAAAGGAAATCCTTTACTGCTATATCTGTTCCAAACATTTTGATCGTTCCCAATTTATCTCAGGATTTAAAGGAAGACTAATAGAAAATGCAATTCCCAATATTCGTAATCCAGATAACAAAAAAGAATCTGTTACTGAGTTACAGGACCAAACAGAATCTATTACTGAGTTACAGGCTGAACCAAAGCTTTTCAGCCCTTCGGGTAAGTGCAAAAAAGATCCACTGCCTATTACAGTATTGGAAAGCCAGGCTTGTGCCGCTTGTGGACGGTCAAGATCCGATCCAAGAAATAAAATTGAACGTTACAAGTTCCATCCATTCCCGGCATACGAAATAGGTCGATGTTTGCGCTGGTGTCAATTCTTGGGCAGGGAAGATATACTTAAAATGTCTCCCAATCAAATACGCAAACTCGTACTTTGTTCAAAACATTTTCAGACCGGCCAAAGTTTCCACAAAATTGGCCCATGTGATGCAGTACCCACAATTAAGGATATTTCTGAATCTGAAAATATTGTAGAGCAAAATGAAGATGATCAGGATCTTGGAGAAGATAGCAAAGATCCTTCCAAGACGCTTAAGCGTGACAGACCATTAGTGTCTAGCAAAAAACCCAAGATTGACAACAAACCTGCGCCATTGGCAAAAAAACGAGGAAAATCGCGAAGACCGACTTCTATTAATATTCCTAGGCCTGTTCCCCACTATTTGGACAATCAAATAATTAAAAAACTACCTCTTCCATCTGCAACTAATTGGAAGATTCAGTTGGGAGATCAATTGCAGCCGATTACAATTAATAATATTTCTTCAAATGTTGCAAATAATCAAGCAAACATTAAGAAAATTATAGTACCATTTACTGGCAATATATCAACTCTTGGTGCTCCGATACCAGTTCACAGTTTATCAAGTATTCCTCCAGGATTACTGATCAAAATAGATTTGCCAGAACAAGAACAACAGCGTCAAGAACAACAGCGACTACAACAGCAATCACAACAGCAATTACAACAACAGCGACCACAACAACAGCGACCACCAAAACGATTACAACAGCGACCACCAAAGCGATTACAACAACAACGATTGCAACAACAGCAAAAATTATCAAAGGTGAAGAAGCAAGATAAGACAAAGAACATGACAAATAGATCGAATAAACAAATTTGGGAAAATAATAATGGCCAAACTTCCGTTATATTGGAAAATGAGAAACGAAATATAGATAAAAATCTAGTAGAATTTCTAAAAGTGTCTTCAGAACCTGTAGAAGAGACTTTACATTCTAATGAAATACAAATACAGGAAGAAGTGATTCCTTTGAAATTATTGAATGTTGAAAGTGAAGTACAGGTTAGTTGAATAACATATTTTCATATTTATTATAATAACCATTACAAATATACAATTCCAAATGTGTTTTTGAAATAACAGTTATTTATAATTATTTCTAATTTCGTGATTGAAGTTTTTGTAATTAAAACGTTATCAATAATTTAGAACAATTAAGTTTTTATATGCATGAACAGTGGCCTTCACTTGTAAATTAAATATAGCATAATTCAGTTACATACACATAACAAATTATATATAATTGTTATAAAATGATGATTAATTGAAATAATACAGAACTGATTATTAATAATTAATGGATATATAAATAAAAAATAGTTTTATGTTTGTAATTGTATTCATGAATAATAATCCATGTGACTTTAATAACTCTTAACACTGATGCAGATAAAGGAAGAACACTATTTCGAAGAAAAGAAAAGAAAATTGATGAAGAAGAAAATTTCAAACAAGAAGGAAAAACGACAGGAGAAAATTTCGAAAACCATGAAAAGAACCATGTTTCCTATCAACAGCGAGATTAAATATTTCTTCAAAAAAATGACGCCACTGATGCATCGATTACCAACACAGGCTAGAGCGATGATGAAATTATCGATTGTTAACATGGTAATTGATCAACTCTGAAATTACGAACCTATATTTTGGAATCAAGATTTTCTTCATAATTTTTTCATAATTTTGTTAATTAGAAAATGCTTGACAAAATTTATAAATAATATTGCTGAAATTTCCATCTTTTCGAATATGATTATTTAATACATTTTTTGATGATGAAATAAATTCTTTCATTATGTTATATTGGATAATGTTCAAGAATCCCCCCAAAATTTATTTAAACAATGCGATTATAAAAAGATACTATAAAATAGCTTTTGAAAATAAAGAAATAAAGAATCCAAGAATTGAAATAGAATTATAATTTTGTTTTAATAATAATTTGTTAAATTTCTATGATTTAATTGCCGGTTTTTAATTAAATAGCCCTTAGTATATATATAAGCAAAACTTTTAATATTTATGGCAAAAATATAATTTAAGCATTAAAGTTAATAGCAATATTATTGTTTTATGATATTATCGTTTCACCAATGATTTACATATAACATCAAAGTCGCTATGAATTAATAATAAAAATATATACAATGGAGGATGTTAAGTTAAAACCGTTTTTCGACCAAAATGAAAAAGTTTCGAGATGTACAAATTATATAATACATCATATTAAACAGTTACTCAAGTGGAGTCGAATTGTCGAATAATATTTCGCTTATCTTGGGGAAATGTCGAGAAGAAATTGTGATCAAAACGAATAAATTTATCATATTTATGCTATCAAATTTATTGAGAAAGTAAGAAAAAGTAAGACAACAATTGAACAATAAGAATTGTATTATTTAAACACGTGAACGCTTCTTTTTGAGAAGAGAAATTCCACAAGACATACAATTTGACGTCATAATTATATAACGCAATAAGATATGGTAAATATGCAGTATAGAGGAGCACTCCCCGATGACCTTGACTGACATATGTGATCATTTTAGCCGAAAAATGGACCTAATTTAACATCCTTTTTAACTTTACGAAAAATTGTACAATTAATTTGGAAATGACGCCTCTTATTATTAGAACAGAGATAAAAGCTGAATATGGAAACTAAGTTTTCAAAGTATAAGGGCCAATGATTAAGAACTAATCTAGTTTGGAAAATATGTAACACTTAATAAGATTCTATATACATAAGTGGGTACAAATAAATTCATAATAATGTTGCGTGGATGGTTTGAAATATCGTGATGTAACAGATATGTAAAAAAATTCATAATTTATTCTTTTCTTGTGCGAAAATTAATTGAATCCGATATTTAAAATAGCGAGACACTATGTGCGGTTACCGTTAATACATTTTTAACCCATGGAAATTGGTCCTTGATACATTAATTAATGTTATTAAGAGTAAACTAAGTTTTTAGATTTAAAATATTTTTTTAAAAGTCACTCTATGGTTATCTTTCTTTTACAAAAATTACATAAATTACATAAATTAGAAATTCACTATTTTTGCTATCGATTTGAAGAGCTCTTTTAGAGAGCCGGGACTAGACATTTCAATACCCGAGTCACCCTCGAGGCAAAAGAAAAAATGCGTCTCCTCAGCGCATCCTAGTCCTGACTCTATTTAATTATATCAACAAAAGGGTAATAAGTTTAATATCCGAATCCAATTAGAAAGGATAACAATTTATTTACGAATAGACTAGTTAGTGCATAAAAAACGTACCACTATAATTAACTACATATTCTATATTAACAATATATGTGTGCGTGTGTGTATGCGTGTGTGTATGTGTGTGTGTATATATAAGATGGTGCATAAAATGTTATACCATTTGTTTTACATATAAATTTGTTTTTAACAAAATTGGTACAGAATTGGTATAGCATTAATCAGCAAAATTGTCTCTAATGGGTAATATTCAATATAACTGACGTTTTACCTTATAATCTCTTGGAGAGCCCTTGTGTTTGACTATTTTTTAACACAAATCTTCAGTTAACACACGGCACAATTGCACGATGTGAACGGAAACATCTTCGCCACATTCTTTGTTTTCGCAAAAAATAATACAACTTTTACTTCATGCTCAACATTTTAAGTCAACAGTCCGTTATCTGCTATCTTATAAACTGATGTATGCGCCTTCACCTCCGTCCAATTCCTACTCGTGATGTTACAACTAACAAAATTTCCACAAAGTGCGGAATTTGCCTACATAGTTAAAAAACTTGATACTTCGCAAATATAGTTTTAATGAAATAATTAAATAGTATGACATTTTGTGCGCCAACCTGTACATACATACATATATAATATTTACATACTTATAGCGCTTTCATTTTATAGTGTAAAAATGACATTTGACAAAGAAACTGTGCTACAAAAGAAGGATAAGAATTGTGTATGTTTTTATTTTTCCTTCTAATTGTAAGATAATCTTCGTATTTTGTGTTTTACTTGTAACGTTTTGATTCCTCTTAGATAATGTATTCTGTATTGATTTATGATAATATATTTTATGGTATTGTAAATGTTATAAAACTTTTTTGAAACTGCCTTTATTTTTAAATAGAGATGGATACCACAAGTGAGTTGTTTGTAAGTGATAATCATTTCTCAATTTTTTGAAAGTAATTAACGATTGATTAAAAAAAGATAGCTATAATTAAAGATAGCTTTTGAGTTAACACAGTTTCTCTGCCAAATAAAATAAACACAGATCTTACAGACAAAATTATATAAATGCTGAAAAGATACAGCACTGTATATTAATCATTAATATGTTATTTTCAAAGTTTTTTCTCCTCTACAACACATCGTTATAAAAATTGTCATTTATAAAAGAAGAGAAATTGCCACTCCCGGTATATAGTATGTATATGTTTATAGTCGAGGAAAATTTTTGCTATGTATTTATATATAAAGCGTTAAAAATAATAATTGTAACAATGTCATTACAAATAAAATTTATGTTAAGTAAAAAAGGTTTGATAAATTGATTCCTATTTAATTTTTATTATGTTTATTAATTAAACAATGTTTGCGCAGAAATACTACTAATTGCACAGAATTATTCTTTAATAAAAAAATAATTCAAAAAGGAGTCTGAATTATTTTCTCTGAAGGAAATATTCTTAAAGCTTATTCACACACAATTAGTGCCTTTTTTATACGCTCGTGACAAAAACATTGATATATGATAACAATAATAATACAAATATATATTATAATTTATTTATTTGTTAACAATATTATTCAACATAAAATATTCATTTCACTATAAAGTTGTTAAAAATACTGTATTATATAGTTTATTTGCTTTGCTGCAACTGTATGCCTTTTTCTCATTTCAACTCATAAATAATTTAAAAATTTATAAGCAAATAGCTAAACATCAAATTACATTACGAACTAACAAAAAAAGATAGCAACGCCAAATTCGAAGTTTTTCTATTACATTTATAAATGGCAAAATACAAAAAAATGATAAAAGTTAAAGATTTTTTGAAAGCTTAATTCAATCATCTTTGTAATTTTCTTTTTTAATTTTGATTAAAAAAATTTTTTAATTTTACTCTATACGTTTAATTTATTTTTTTAGCCTCAATCTACACAATTTTTCGTAATTTATAATTGTAAGAATAAAGAAAATTATTTAATAACGAATGTGAAAATAGATATACAGTACTTCCAATGCTTACTCTACAAAGTGAAACAGTATCTACAATATGATAATATAATATTTACATTAAATAGCAAAATAACATAATTATGATAAATAGGCAAGTGCTACTATTTATATAGTTTGTATTATTTATTTAATAAATGTTATTAAGATACTTATTTCCCTGACATTTGTATAATACAAGTAGTTTTGAATTATTTAATTATTTATCTAACTGCGAAGACTTTGCAATCGGTTTTTCATCTCTTCAAGTTCTTTGTCATCATCTTCTGTTTCCTCTTCTGCAGAAGTAGAAGCAATTCCAGGATTTTCTGTGACAACTGCAGGAGCTGTACCGAGCTGACCTGCTGTAACTTCCCATAAAATCTAAAAGAGAATATATAGCTTTTATATTAAAATGTAGTTAATTATGTATGTATATTAATTTTAATAAAACATTCTAAAAATTAATTACAAATTTTTCAAGTAGCTCTAATTCATGAAATATGGAATAAAATAAAAATCATTTCATTTTATTCTATTATTATATTACTAATTAATGATCTACCTTATCAACTTCTTCATCAGCTTCATCCTCCATATCTTCAGAATCCTCAATAGAATCCATCGTCTCGTCCAACATTTCCTCGATAATACCTGCCTTCATCATCTCTTTTGACATTTCTCTCATAGTTGCGGCTACTTCTGGTACTCTTACTAAAGATTGCATTGCTTGCATCACTTCTGTGGATTTAGAGACCGAACCAGCAACTCTGATTGTTGCTAACTGATTTTTCATTTGTAATGATACAGAATTTAAGTGTGCCTTAGAAGTATAAATCTTATTGCAAGCTTTGCGAGCCCTTATAATCTCTTTTGCAAGGATTTTGCATACATCTTTATCTCCTTTTTTTGCTGCTTCTTTTAAGGAACGTTTAACTTTGTCTTCTTCTCTCTGAATCGCTATACAAGAAAGCATTGATTATATTAATAATATTAGAATAACTATTTTTTTATTAATGTAGAATGAAAAAGTACATAAAAGGAAAGACTAGATTAATTAAAAAATTCTAAACATTCTATGAAAATACTAATTACATATTTCTAAAATTATATTTTTCCTAGATTTTATTGAGAATAAGGATTTCAACATTTTCATATCTTATGTATCTAATGCTAATGCTTGTTAATTCAATATTTTGGGTTTCCAATATGAAGATTAAGATTGTTATTGATTAATTGTAATTATATTTTTCAATTTTAAAGACTTCTTAAAAAATTTTTTTACATATAATCTTACCTCTAACCTGTCTATCAAGTTGATAACCTTCTTTTCTCAATTTGTGAGTCCATTCTTGAACCTATATAATATGATTCATACCAGTTATGTGAGAACAAAAAGGAATATTTTAAAGCAACTTACCATTTCCTTAGGATTTTTTTCCTGTGATTTTCCAAACAAACCCATGTTTCAATCGTGTTTATCAAAACGTCAAAGCATTCAACGACGTACTCTACTCATTGATTCTCACTACAGAATTTTCAAGGTTAGGTTGTCGGAATATAGCGCCTCTATGCAAAGAACGTGCATATTGAACTATGTAGTCACAGATATTTCCGGCGGATAACATATCCACTCTCTTTGATTTTACAATTGTTATAAATTTGGTGTTACATATGCAAAAAATATTGAAACGTTTTATAAGAAATTATAAGAACAGCTTAAAAGTCATATTACTACGTACGATACGTATTATGATTTATAATATAACTGTCACTGAGATTTTTTTTATTGTCAGACAGTACATGCAGAACAAAATATCGATTTAGGCCGCTAGAAATATCCTGAGCACTGACAAGTACGACTATTAAGGCCATCACACGTACAAAAATTTTAGTCGTAATCGTAAGGCCGTAAGCAAATCGACCAATCACAGTCGAGCGTTTTTAAACGCGAGATCGTAATTTTGATTGTGATTGGTCGTTTTACTTGCGATCTTACGATTACGACTAAAATTTTTGTACGTGTGATGGCTTTTATCAGAGAGAAACCTGAGAACGGAATCCATAGACAATGCTCAAGATTCGAGATGGTCTTAAGCTAGTACATGAACCAATCAGAGGCCGGTATTCATAGTCGGTTCTTATTTCAAAACCATCTTAAGTAATGTCTTAATACGCTAATGCAGCTCTTTGATTGGTTCATGACACCTCAAGGCTGAACTTAAGACGATCTTGAATATATAGTAAGAACTGACTATGAAAACCGGCCAGGGAATCGTATTAGCATCTTAAAACCTTGCTTGAGTTTAAGAACGGACTATGGCCGGTATTCATAGTCAGATCTTATATTCAAGGCTGTCTAAAGGTCCGTCTACAATGAGATTGGCTGTAAGCTGCTGTAAGCCGTAAAGAAGTAGGACGTAGGTAGTAGCGCAATTTCTACAACAATGGCTGCGTTCAGCAGAACGGTTGTTTTGCAACTGTTGGAAGTTTCCTTCGCGCTAATTGGATCATACTTCTAAATCTAGAAGAATGGTCCTATCTCAGCAGACAATCATAAAACGGTTGCAAAACTGTTGAGTCTGCTGAACGCAGCCAATGTCTGTCTACAATGGAATGGTGGTAATGATATAATCGGCCAATGAGAAAACAGACTGTTTGAAATCAGAAAATACACCGTTTGAGGTTACATGCAAAATGTGATAGTTTTCTCACTACTTGCAATATCATGAATATAAGAAAAATTGGACTTTTCTTTTTATTTTGCTTATCTTGGCACAGTTTATTACTGTCGCAATGGCAGGTTATAAGAAGAAGGATTACAATAAAGCAACGACGTTGGTGGGTTCGACCTATAAACAGGCTACGAAATGCTCAAGGATTTTACCATAACCTTGTTTAAGAATAAAACATCGTGTTCGTTGTCATCATCCTCTACGCTATTTATTATATTATCATCTTCGTCAGACATCGCGCTATTTTAATATCGGATATCCAGAAACTGCGTATCAAATTCACTGATGAAAATTCGCTGAGAATCGCTGTCAAAGTAACGCAAGACGTTTATCGTAAGCCGTAGGCAGTACCGAAATGGAAATAATCCATTTCACTTACGGCTACTGTTACGAGTTGCGATCTCCTTTACTGCCTACTGTTACGGTCTAAAACTTTCCATTGTAGACGGATCTTTAGGTACAGTCTTAAGATGTCACGAACCAATCAGAGGGCCGCATCAGTGTCTTAAGTCCGGATCTACAATAGGTGTTTTAAGACTTAAGCCGTAAGAATTGACCAATTACAGTCGAATCCGAGGGGAATAATCGACTGTGATTCGCCCATTTCTTATGGCTTAAGGCATAAAATCCTATTGTAGATCCGGGGGAAGACATTACTTAAGACGGTCTTGAAATAAGAATCGACTATGAATACCGGCCTATGGATTCCAGACTGAGAGTGGACATCCCGGCCTTTTTCGTGTACCAAACCCCGAAATAGGATATCCGAAAAAATTGATCACTATAAAAATTTTGATAAATTGTATTTTTCAATTTTCGACAAATATATGTTATATACATTTACGTATTTTACATATATTATAGACATATCTTTGCAATTTAATTGTTAATTTTTTAAATATGTTATTAATTTAAACAGTTATAGCTTATTTTATTTTTTGTTGTGCGTAATTTATTTTTAAATAGGTATATGGTTATTTATTAACCTTTAGACTGTCGGCATTTTTTCGTTAAAATAATGATTTTCTTTCTCGAAATTTTAACAGTACGTGTTAACACTAGCACATACAATGATTCAATCGAATGCGTATTTTGCAATATTTGTTTGGCCGAAAATTAAGACATACAGCGCAGTCACGCCATTGCGTTGCGTCGTTTTTGGCGCGAAGTCGTCCATGCGCTGGTTGCAAAACGGTTGAAGACAAAACAACTTCGTCTTCAACGCGCGGTCAACTTCACGCAGTTCACGCGGCAAACTGCAAAAGTGACGCCGGCAGCGAACGGATCGGCTCCGAGAGTGGCGGCGCGATTCGATCAAATGGTAACGTTAAATTTGTATTTATCGCTTATTGTAATATTTCAAAACGCATATAGATACTTATATAGATTCGATATTCGCCATGAACAGGACGCGCATTACCGATACGCCATTACATTACTCTTGGCGCACGAAGTTGATCGCGCGGGAGATGAACTGCTTCGCCATCTTGATTGCATTTGCGTTTCATTTTCAGAACGCGGCGAATTCGGGATAGACCGATTTGTCGTTCAATATTATTTTTAATTATTATATTTACTCTTTAATAGCGTTTTTCATTGGCAGAACTGGTGCGCACTCAGTGCACTTTAAAGCCGTTGTATAACAATCGACGTAAAGATATACGTTTAATAACAATATATAAACGAATTAAACCGTGAAATATTCGATACATTTTATTGTGCTATTTAATAAAATAAATTTTGAGCATTTTATCAATTGAGATATCTCACATATATATTTTTTTAGAACAGTGTACAACAGCTTTAATGTGCACTGAGTGCGCACTAGTTTTGCCAA